TGAGGTTATGAATGTTAAAGCCGACATGCTGTCAGATAAACAAATTGAAATTTATGAATTTTTAAATCATAAAAAACCTACGGATGAGAAAACAAATAAATTAATATTGAACTTAAATGATAAAGAAAAATATGTAATCCATATAAGAACCTTACAATTTTATTTGAAGCAAGGGTTAAAACTTAAGAAAATTCATAGAGCAATTAAATTTGAACAAAAAGAAGTTTTAAAACCTTACATTGAGTTTAACACTGAGAAGAGGAAGAATGCTAGAAATGATTTTGAGAAAGATGTTTACAAATTGATGAACAATGCCATATTTGGAAAAACAATGGAGGATAAAAGGAAACATTTAGATTTTGAGGTTGTGAGTGATGAAACTAGATATATGAAGTGTGTAAGTAATCCTAACTTCAAACATAGTCATATCATTAATGAAAATTTGGTTGGAGTTGAAAAGCAAAAAACAAAGTTGAAACTAGACAAACCTATATTTATTGGGATGAGTATTTTAGATTTGAGTAAGCAACACATGTATAAATTTTATTATGACGTTATGAAGCCTAAATATGGTGATAATATTAAAATGGTATATACTGATACTGATAGTTTTGTATTTCATACTAAAACCAATGACATTTATGAAGACCTTAATACAATTAAAAAAGAATTAGATTTTTCAGATTATCCTAAGGAACATAAATGTTATGATGATAATAACAAGAAAGTATTAGGGAAATTTAAGGATGAATTAAAAAGTAAAATAGTAACAGGGTTTATAGCCCTTCGTCCTAAATGCTATGCTTACTCAGTTTATGGTGATGATAAAAAATATAAGAAATGTAAGGGCATAGCAAAAGGCACAGTAAGACGTCAAATGAAATATGAAGAGTTTGAGACGGTTTTAAAAACTAATGAGGTTATACATAAGTCATTTAATAGTATTAGAAGTAAAAACCACAGAATTTTTAGTATAACAACTAAAAAAATTGCTCTTAGTAGTTATGAAAACAAAAAATATTGGATAGATAGTATAAACTCACTTGCTTACGGTCATTATAAAATAAATTCTTTGAAAACGACTTAAAGAAATATTGACTTAATATATTAAGAGGAAAAATGACACTGTTTAATTATAGTAAGTGTGAATGTTGTAATAATAAAAAGAATGATATTAATTTTACATTGTATAACTTATTACCTGCTAATCTGTGTAATAAAATAAGTGAATATGATGTATATTGTAATCAATGCTGTATAACAAGAGACCTTGAAAAGTTGTTTGTTGAAGAATATAAGGATAAGGGATATACAAAGTTTCAATTACAATTGACATTCTTTATGAAATATCAAAAACGATTTCCTGTATATTTTTGTCATAAAATTGATAGAGAGTCATTTGAAAAAGAAATTGATGAGTTTTTTAATAATAAAGATTTGATTAAAAGGTTTGGAGGAGAACTAAGCATTAAACCATATAAATCATTTGCTAAAGAATTTCGTGATTTGTTTGAAGAGATTGATTGGCATTTATTAAGCAAAGATAAAATAAACAAGGTCTTGAATGAATTTAGAATAACTAAATATCATGTATGGTATTACTACGACACTAAATATCAAGTATGGCTACTAGTTAATTTGTTTTTCTGGGAATATATTTATTCAATAATAGGAAAAGACAATATCAAATATATAGACATTGGCGATATTGATAAATATGTAGATTACATATTTGAAGACATTTTTCCTGACTATAAATGTAACCCATAATTATTAATCATACTATGATTATCACATGTAAACTATTATATGTTATAATTGTAATATATTTATCGTTTGTAAAGATTGAATTATTATAATTTGCTTATCTCTTTCAAAGTGCGTTGTTTAGACTTGGCATGCTTCTTCAATTTTTTCGTGCTTTGGCTGTTTGTTTTTGTTTTGTTTGATGCTCTTGTGATATTTTTTGTTGGTATGTTGCTTTGTTTTTTGTTGATGTGTGTTTTTGAGTTTGGGTTCTTTGATGATTTAGAGTGTTGCTGTTTTGTTGGTATGCTTGTTTGAATTATTTAATGTTGCATGCTGTGATTAAATATTTTTGTTGCTGGTTGTGATTATTTATTTTGTTTGCTTGTTGTTCTGGATTTTGTTTTCTGTTTGTTGTGTTGCTGTTGGAAAAAAAATAGTAGAAAGAATAATTCTTTGAATTCTCCTTTTACTATTTTTGGGGGGGGGGGGGTGGGCGATATGGGGTGGGGAGCTGTGGAGGGCCTCAGTCGTGTCCAATGGATGTAACGTTTGTTGCCAGAAGGAATATGTTGCCCGAGCCAGTGTTTCTCCTTGGGATGTATGTCCATTTGTCAAAGTGGCAGCAAAAAGGATTGGTTTCCTTTTGGTTTCCTTTTGGTTTCCTTTTGGTTTCCTTTTGGTTTCCTTTTGGTTTCCTTTTGGTTTCCTTTTGGTTTCCTTTTGGTTTCCTTTTAAGCCTATCCTCGAAGGGTTGTCCTCAAAAGAAGACCCACCCATCCGGTGCCAAACGCCTTTCGTTCCTTTTGGTTTCCCCTTTAAAACCAAAAAAGAAGTGTTACATCCCTTTTGGTTCCATTCTCTCCCCAGCTCCATTTGTTGCTGAGAGAATGGACATACAGTGCATGAACGAAATCCGGCACCACCTAAGAAACCCTGGAGTGATGATGCCCCTGTAAATACCAACAAAACATGGTTTCAACCATGGTTTCAAAAGTGGTGCGAAATGGATTTCGCCCATCCACAGTACCTCTTCTTCCCACTCAAAAAAGGAAAAGACCCAGAGGCTTGTGGCCGGACTTCGAGACGGTGTCTCTGCGGCCGCCCCCGACACAGGCGCGGATTCGGACCGAAAACCGGTTCGCCCCCGAAAATTGGGGAGGGAGTTTCCAGGGCTCCGTGGACGAAATCCAGAAATCGCACCACGGTGAAACCGGAGGAACCCCATGTTTGTTGGTATTTACAGGGGAATCGACTCATTCCAAGGTGTCTTAGGTGGTGCGAAATGGATTTCGCAACCATCCGCAGTATGGATCAAAATTAACCAGGGGCCGCAGGTTTTCGTGCTTGGGTTCCAGGATTCCATTTGCCAGGTTCGATGGCGGGTACATATGTCATATATGATGACCCACAGCCATTTCCGGTATGCGGTTGAGCTTCCTGATTTGTATGTGCAACATTCTATGGCTTGAACCATGCAAAGCGACATCCAGAATCCAACAGGCAGTCCGTGGAAGATACAGTTTTGCCATTTGATACGGCCGGACTTAACCCACCGTGTTGCCCTTTTGCCCCTTTTTGTACCCGTATGTTTCTTTCATGACCGGCAAAAGGCAACGATATTACCATTATGTGAGGTAATGTTCTGATATAAGACCCCCTTTTGGAAAGGTGTGTTTTTGTGATGGAACAACGGTGAGCTTGACGTGGATCTGGGCGAATGGCTGTTGCGCGCTATATGTCTTTGCGGGAGAAAGCCTGTCTCTGCAAGAGGATTGGTGGTAGGAAATATGCAAACCGTGGTCGGCATACCGAACACAGGTGTACAGCACATGCAACAGCCGCCAACATGAAATTTCGGAGCCTAATTGATTCAGCTGGAATGCGAGTTCTGCGCAGTATTCCAGCGGGAGCCTTCCGGCACAGCCATTTTAAGATGACACCCCACGCTCATGGAATTCCAGGGAGGTTAGCCCAAGCCCGGATATGGCCCCCCTTGGATATGACATGCCTTGAGGTCCAACGAGCCGTCCCTCGGCACCACACAACTTGTTTGAAGCAAACTGGAACGAGAACTGAGGGGCTTGGGGTACTCAGCAGGTTTCGCCCTCCAAGCGTGGTTGCGCCTTGTGCTGCGACCTGCTGTGTGGAAGGATCAGGGTCGACATGTACCCAGTTCAGTGGCATGTGTGTTCCCTTTTTGCAGGTGCCTCGGGCAACTAGTAACCAGGGTTACTGGCAACTGGGTAGAAAACATGGTTGAAGGATTGGTGGCATCCCCCGCATTTAAAAAAGTGTGGGCGCACGGGTGTTGTTTTGTTCATGTTCTGTGTTCTGCAGGTATCTAAATCTATGTATCCTGGCCTTTTTTGGCAGCAGCAACCCTTGCAATCTCATGGCAATGTACAGGGGCTTGGAGAGGTTCCTCTCAGTTTGCATTTGTTTGAGTGGGACATAGACTGGCCCTAGCTGTCTCTGGTGGCCAGGCAACCCGAAAGCGGCCGATCGAGGGCGAGAGAGAAAGCGCATGAAAGCGGCGGGGAATTTTCGAGCCCAGACCAGTGGTCCTTGTCCAGCGTGACGCTTGTTCCGTATGGAATGCCACCGGGGGTATGGGCAAGCTAAGCATCCTCTCTAGAATGAGACCCCCCTTCTCATTTGTAGAGCGGGTTGTCCCTGCCGGGTGGAGATTCGGTGATGCAGGTGTTGCATTCTATTTGCTTCCTGGACTCTCAACCCCCTGGTGGATGACACTTTGGATCCAAACAAAGTTTCTCGAATTGTCGTCCAACCTATGCCGTCCTTGCGGGAAATTTGGGCTCCAGGCATGTACCGTTCCATCGACGATCCTTTATCCTCGCTTGCTCTTGAGCAAATAGCCCGCCTCAGAAATAGCAGATGTTTTTCTTTTCTGTTTTTGTGCGACCCCGTTCACAGGGCGACTAAAAAGGAAACCATCAAAAGGACGACCTTCTTGGGATGCTAGAAACTATGGAAAGAAAGCAGCGGGAACTACGAAGCTTGATACGCGGGCCGCTTGGAGAAAACTGCCCATCAGCCTCCACCGCAGCGCAGGGAATTTTGGCTCAAACCTCCGAGCTGCGCGCCTCTCTGCCAAAAGCGCTCCATTCGTGGCCCTGCCTTGGTCGAAGAAAAATACACATTCCTCAGCCATGATATACATGTCATATGATCTTTGGATCCAAGGCAGCCGCCCAACAAATCCTCGACTCCGGATATCCAACCCTCCAAAGATGAGGGCCTTGCTCCTGCTTTTCGGCGCGGCGGTCGCCACCGCCGAGCACTGTGCGGACGAGACCTGCGAGGACGACTGAATCCGCGCGTGCGCAACAACAAGAAGCGGGCGGAAATGTTCTCACCTGCCCGAAGCTGTTCTTTGACCTTCGGCGTTCCCCCTTTTTGAAGTCCAGGTCTCGGCAAGTGAGTCCCACAGTTGCCTTGGTGCGATCAATAGCAAGCATGTGTTTTTTTGGACCCAAGAATAGCCAAAAGGATAGACTCAGTTGCTGAGTTCCTGGACTTGATACCTGGGAAGACCCACTCAGGCTCGAGGATAGTCCCGACCCCTTTTTTTAGCACCCCGACCCGCCCAAGAAGCTCAAGAGTACACTCAACCAAGCTGAAGAGCAAGTGTCTGGATCGAGTCAATACTTTTTCGTGAAGGACATATGACGACAGGTTTTAAAGCACACCCACCAGCATGTGCTGTGGTATGCTGGGACACCTCAAGACCGCTTTCCTTTCGGAGGTTGATTCTTCGCAAAGCGCGCAGTGTGAATTCGCGAAGAGGCGTGTGTTCAGCATGCACCAATGTGAGCCACATGCTGGCCACACAAATCCATGTTTAAGTTGCCAAGTGCAAGATCCCCCTGACCATTCTCCTCATCGAAACATTGCCCGCGACTTCGGAACGCCTATGTCTTTTTGTTTGTTGTTTTCTTTTAAGCAAAATGGGGAGGCACCTAGTTGTTCAAAAAAAGAAAAGATCCTTTTTGACGCGAGTAGTCATGGCGATCGCCCTTTCGGACATAGAGGCGTCCAAATTCCACCAGGTTCAGGTAACCATCCCACATACCTGAGATGGCCAACTCCAGACCTTGTGTTGGCCGATCTCTTCCTTGTGTTTCATGGTTGTTTCTTTTCTTTTTTTTTACACATGCTTTGGGTTGTTGCATTCATGAGCCCAAGCATCATTTCGACCTCATTATTTGAATACATTTATTTGGGGTATTTTGGTTCAATGGTGGTTTTCATACAGTATGTGGGTTTCACCATTCATGAAACCATATGAAACCATATGAAAACCATATGAAACCTTATGAAGCCTTATGAAACCAGCATATTTATTTGGGTTTCATTTTGGTCTGAAACCATATGACACCCCTTCATGCCTCCCCGGGTCACCTTCCGAGCTCAGCCCCTTCAGGAGCTTATTGATGATCCCGAGCTCCACCTCTTGCAGCGCAAGGCAGCGGGGACAAAGCAGCGGGACCGGTGCAACTCGTGAATCGCCGGATCGAGGACTTAGGGCCCAAACCAATAGGACGGTCAGTAGGGTACGTCAAAAAAGGGATAAATAAACAAGAGTAAATAGTAATAAAAATAATAATAATAATAATAATAATGATAATAATAGTAATAATAGTAATAATAATAATAATGATGATGATAATATTCAGAGCAATAATAATAATAATAAAAAATACTATAGTTACTAATACTAATAACAACGATAATAATACTATAGTTCCTAATACTATTGATAATGATAATAATACTATAGTTACTGATACTAATAATAATGATAATAATAAGAAACAACACCATGATGATAAGACTTGCTAATTACCCAAACGCTCCCGATGGATGTAGGGCGCGCCAAACAAGTTCCGGGAAAGCCCCAGCCCAGGAGGTTCTGGGTAGGGCCCAAATCAGTAGAACGGCGAGCCATCGGGTACTTTAAGGCCCCATTTAGTTCGCCACGAAAATGTGTATCATTGTTGAACCCCATTTGCTAGGTTCCAACAGTGGAAGCTGACACGAGACATTAGAAGACGAAAGCTTTCCTTTTCAGAAAGCCTCAAAGGAGGGTACTTTAAAGGGGAGTCCAACAAGGAGAGAACAACACAAAGCTCTGAGGGCTTTGGGGGTTCCAGACGGGTTGGGGTTGGGCTTGTTGCAACCAAGCCTTGGTTTGACCCAGAAGCCAGAAACTTAAGGGGCGCCTTTTCCTAGCCCGGGACCATCATCTTGACCCAAGTTACTAGTGGTCCAATAGGCTGGGCCCGGTGGTTCAATCAGTTCCCCGACACTACTGTGGATGGACGAAATCCTGCACCACCTAAGACACCTCGGAATAGTTCGATTCGATTGAAATGCCAACAAACAATAGTTCATCATGGTTTCTTAGGTGCAACTTAGGGCAATCTTCAGTTGAAGGGGCCTTGCGGTTTCAGTGTGGTTCCGGGGGAGCAACATGGATTGGTGGGCGAGTAGGGATCCAATCCACTTGCTCCACGAGGCCCAGGCAGTGCGCGACACGGGACATGCGGCGAGCACAGAAGCAGGCGACGCGAATTGGGCGAGGGGACGAGGGGGTGGTTGGGCCGGTCTCCGAAGCAGCCCCTGGTGGTTTTGAGTGCACACTGTTTTGAGGTTTTGAAAGTCGTACGGTTTTGAGGTTCACTGCGGGACGGCTTGCCTGGGAGGATTTGAACCCGCCCAACTTGGGTGGTGCGACCAGGTCCTATATTGTCCGAGCAACCACTGCCTTGAGATTTTGTTTAAAAAGGCAAACAAAGCTTGTATCGTTTCTTGTGTGTGTTTTTTTTGTTATATGGCGATCGATTAAATCATAGCTCTTGGGGTGTCGACCCAGACTTTGAACACGGGACCCAGCCATCCTACAAGCCATGCTTGGGCCGTTCTGGAGGACGAAAAGCACCGTGTGTTTTTCACGGTGCGAGCCATGAGGGTCCAAAGTTACCGGGCAAACTCACAAATGTTGCCAGTCCGGGTGCAAGTTGACCGCTCTAAATGAGTGTGGTCCTTTGGTGGCTCAGAGCTTCTGAAACGCTTAGGACGAGACATCCCTCCAGCCGGGATGTGTGTTGCATTGTCGCATGGGATTCGAAAGCATCACTGCTAGGACCCCCAGTAGTGCCCTTTTGCCCTTTTCTGGGGGAAGTTTCCCCCAGTAAAATAGAGTACCAACAAAAATATGATACCCTATTCTAACCTCTGGAGGACCTAGACTGTTTTGCTGGTGTTCTGCTGGAGGGCTTCCAATAGATGGTGGCTGGCGAGGCCCCCAAACTTCCAGTTTCTTTTGGTTCAGGGTCTGTGAATCGGGCGAGAGCAGTTGTGAGAGCAGACATCTGGCGAACCCGGATGTTCCCTCCAATTGTGCTCTGATTCGTCCGCTTGCATGGATAGATTGGATAAGTATGATGAGGAATCCTGCTAGGGGAACCATTGCAACATGGCCGCCATTTTGCTCTTTGCCCTTCGCGAGGAACATGTCTGACATGGCCATGGGTCATAACCTATGCCTCCATTTTGGGGCGGATGAACACCCATGTCCCACCTATTTTGATTTTCACCAGGGGTACAGGGTTTTGACCCACACCCACATGTGGATAGATCTTAAAGTAAGAGGCCGTTCCAAGAATGTTCCGGTGCGCACGACCATGGCCAGGGGTGCTGACCATGGCACCTTACAGGGAACCCCCTGAGATGTGTCTTATTGTTTTTGAGGCCCTTGGGGAATTGTGTCTTTTTCCTGCTCTTTTGGTATTAAGATGGGTGTTGAGGGAACAACAGGACAACCCAGCCAGTTTTTTACTGCTCTTCGCGGCCAACGCCACTCGGAGGTCTGCACTCCTTCACCAAACTGGCTCGGGGCCCCGGAGGGGGATGAGAGGGCTGCGGTTTTGGGGTTCATTGGCTAGATGCCATGGGGTTGGACAAGATATCCGCGCGCGTGTATGTTTTGGTGTTTGTGTGTTTGAAGTGTTTGTTTGGTTGGTTTGGTGGGTTGGTTGCTTGGTTGGTGTGTTGGTTTGTTTTGTTTGTTTGGTTTGTTTGGTTTGTTTGGTTTGTTTTGGTTTGTTTTGGTTTGGTTTGGTTTGGCGTTCGTGTGTTTGTTGGTTTAGTTTGGTTGGTTGGTTGGTTGGTTGGTTTGTTCGTTTGTTTGTTTGCTTGATTGATTGCTTGATTGATTGCTTGCTTGCTTGTGTGTGTGTTTGCGCGCGTCTTTGTTGAAGGGTACCTGTTTTGGGGGTTCGCCATATTTTGCTGGCTCAGCTTGTGACTGGGATGAAACCCAGGGTTGAAAAGTGCTTGTCGGGGATACTAAGTTGGCCCAAGAGCTGGTTCTGCCATGGTAAACCTTGATTGAGCCTGTCCTCCTTTGGGAGGCATATAGACAAACTTGGCTGCTCGGGTGCTGATCGACCTGATGTTCAAGCATAGCCATTCCAGATTCTTCTATGTGGTTAAGAACATGGACATATTTTCCTCTGTTGGCTTCAAAGTGAATCTATCACCACTGGACATAATTTCTATTTGTTCCAGGCGCCAGGGATGTCCGTTCGGCTTGAACTCCCCTGGGTTTTTGAGTGGAGAGGTTCAATCAAGTTGGTACCCGACGATTTTTTTTTGCCGGACGTCTATGTTAGTAGGGGCTTCCCCTCCCCAAGAAAAGGAACGGTAAAAGTTGGCACCTAGCTGGGGCACCTAGTCCCCAAAGACCCTAAGGTCCGGCCATCGGTTTCACATCCTCAAGTATCAGGTACTTGCTGTGAGTCACGCTCACGAATACCTCCATGCCTCATCAACATATCCGGTCGTCTATGGTCCATGTAGGGGCGCGCGTGCGTGGGGGCACGCGCGTGCGGGCGCTTGCGAAGTTTCTTGTGGCCGCTGTGGGGCTTGTTGTTTCCTTCGGGATTTCGGGTTGGTGTGTCTCGAAATAGAAGCCTACTCCAAAACAGGCCACACCTATGTTCCCAGTCAGCCCCTCATGGCCTGTTTGTGGGGAAGAGCTCCAAACTTGTACCCGAAGAGCCACTATCATTCGAGAACTTGAAATCAGCCCCCCAGTTTCTTTTGGCACACATTGGGGAGGGAGTTTTAATATGATTACGTAATGAACTGGCGCGTGAATTGCCGATGAAACATGTCAGAAGCCTGACAAATGCTGCCCAAGTTTCAGAATGGTCCCTCTGCATGGCCCAGGGAACGGTGAACCACAGAACAATGACTTTAATGGAGCAGTAGTCAATGCACCATCTAGCGCCAATGGGGCGACATCGGGAAATTTGAATTGCCATGAGTCATGAGGAAACTCTTTCATGATGTACTAGTGTCAATTGTTGGGACAAAACGGGCCTTGACCTCTCCTGCGCCAGGTACTTCATGGTTCATTCCTTTGATACTTTGGATTTTTGTGCGCAGAGAATCATGTGGACAAAAGGCGACCTCACACTTTTGGGCGTAGGTCGGAAGGCACAACATTGCACAAAAAAACACGGATCCCCCAACCAGTCATCACAGGGCATGGGGAATAGTTCCCCCTCATTTCCACCTCTTCCCCCCCCCCAAAAAAATAAAGCAAACACCTTTAGCTGTGTCCCCCCCCCAACAGAACCCCCGAAAACCGCTTAGCTGTTAATCGAACATGGGCTTAAAACTCGCTAAAAGGCCGTCGGGACGAAAAGCTGCAGGATCCCTGCGAAGGCCCGGTGCAGGCCCGGGCGAGCGATTCTCTCGCGGTTTTAGTTGCCTCGGCCGATGGCACGGGAAGGAAAAAATCACCCGCGGCCCTGGATGGGTGTCTCGATGTTCTTTTTGGACACTTCCCCAATTCTGAACCCAGGGATCCGGATCTTTCCAGAAAACCACCAGAACCCCCAGGGGAAGCAGCGATCGGTTTTTGAAACCAACACCTACCAGGTGCCCTGGGTGGTTTTCGTTTGACCCATACCCCCATTGTTTTTTGAAGGCACCACTGCGAATAACAACAAGGACAACCAAAATGGGAGGTGTTCGCCCTATTTTGACACAGACCCATGGGGGGCACAACCTCGGCAGGGGGCCGACAGTGGTTGACCGGTTTCGTTTGTGGGGTCTCACCGAACCTGACATGGAACCTGACAGGGGGGGGGTCCTGGAAGACAGTTTCGCCGAGAATTGTTAGGTTCCATACAAATTGGCGGGAGGGAAACAATCCCGTGTTGCAAAGGTTGAAGTTCAGAATGGTTGCAATGGTTGCGTGTCGGAAAAAAAAACTCGGTGGGAGCTGCTGTGCAAGCCAGCGACGTGTGTTGTCGACAAACGCCAACAGGAGACTCTTTAAAAAGATCCGAGAGGAACCAATCCCGGTGGCTGGCATTTGTTTCATTGACCTCAACCTTTTGTTTTGGGGGGAGCAAGGACTAAGGAGTTCCAGGATGGGTGGGATAGCTCTGCTCGGGCTTTGGTAAGCTCTGTTTTTCCGTTTGGGATGGGCTTTGCCTTGGGGGCAACCGTGAGCTCCGGCCGGATTCGGCGGCCAGAGGTGGGATTTGGTTCTCCGGCCTCGGATCCCTTCGGGAACCTTCGCCCATGGCCGGATTTTTTCGGCCGTAGCATCGCTGTGGGGAACAGCGACCAGGTCCGAAGCGCGGCGAGTCCCCCTTCAATTTTTTGAGGTGCCTTTCCGGCTTTCATGTTCCCTAAGCAACCAGGAAAGTGATGTTGCTGACCCTGAGGATGAAGGAAGCAAACAATAGATCCGTCCGTGACATGGACCCTGTGGGAACTCCGGCAGGTCCTGAGTGACGTGGATGACACCTTCATGAGCAGCGGAGGGCCCCTTGGTGAAGCTGAAACTCGAGTCGCCGGGATGGGATGGGTCCTTGGGGTGCGGTCAAGATTTGCCCATGCCAGGGACGTGGGGGGGACTCGCAATTATTCCCCTCGATGTTCCCTTGTCCAACAGCGGGAAACGGTTTGGACCGCTTATATATGCTCCTGAATAGGGAATTTTCACAACTCGAGGGTCTTTGGCAAGAGAACCATGAGGAGTCGACTCCATGCCACAGTGGGTTTGTCGGCAAAACTCTAGTTTTGCTTGATGACATATGAAACATCAGCTTTTGGAGCAAGTTCAGGTTGAGTCACGTCTTGGGCGCTGGGACCCCTTTTGTGGGCCTCGCAAAGTTACCTCAAGGCCGCCCTTGCGAGGGGTCCAAAGTCCACAGATCCTGGAGGCGAAATTTACCTTTTGGGGAAGACCAAATTTGAGTGGTAAGTCGAAAGTTCGAGACCTTGCCCATCCACTCCGGAAGTGAGATGGGCCATCCACTCGGGAAGTGAGAAAGAGGGACTCTCATTTTGACCCAAGACACTAGGTCCCCCCAGCTAAGTGCCCTTGTTTGCTCTTTTTTGGGGAGGGTTGCCCTACTGAAATAGACTACAGAAAATCGGGTGCCCTTATTCGAACCTTTCGACTGGAGGGCCTAGGACAAGTTGGCCGCCTGTCCCGCCCTGTCCGCGATCCTAAGAACTTGGCCCGCCGGCTGCGATGGGGTCTTCGAGAAGCATGTGGTCTACCCAGGCGCGTGAGACCCGCAGAAACGAGCATCAGGGGTTCTCAGAACTGCAAGGCTTCTGGTTGCTTGGGTTGGGTTGGGGTGGGTTGGGGTTAGGCTGGGTTTATTGGTTGGGTTGGTCTGTTTCGTGAAGACCTACCCAAGAACTTGTCCAAGATACGTTTTGCCAAATCAACGTAACCTCGCCAATAAACCACCTGTTTTGAAGGTTTCCACATGCACCAGGTCGGTGATGTTTATGTGTATTCTTAAAGGGGCCCTGATGCTATTTATTTTCTTGGAGTTTCACCTTGAACCCCTCGGGGGGGACCGTTCCCGAGATTCCGCTCCGCTGATTCCCTTTAAACCTGTGTATGGGGTTGTCTCTAAATAGGGAACTCTCCAAACCAGTGGTTTTCTATTGTTTTCTTTCGGGTTCCCAGCCCAGAAAGGGATGCCTCAAAGAAGACACCCAAATAGATACTCCAAGCATCTCCGCACCTCAAACCTTTTTCTTGAAAGGTTTTGTTAGGTCCGAATCTCTCCGGCTACTGTGGATGGACGAAATCCTGCGCCACCTAAGAAACACTGGAATGATGATTCCCCTATAAATACCAACAAACAACGGTGATGACGCTTGCATGACTGAGTGAGAGGGAACTCCTGGAAGTGACGCCCCAAAAGGATCTGCTTCTGACGAAACCACATGGCGAAACCCGAGGATCTCTGGCCAGAAAGCAAAAAGTTGGTGTCCGCGCCCGACAGTCAGTCAGTAAGTGACGTCGCTGTCTCTATGGCGAGACGGGGGAAAGGCAAGCGCCAGGCGCCAACGGACCAGGCGCCGTTTCTTGCTTCTAGTCGGTGACCTGTACCTAGAGTCTGCATGACCCCTTAAAAATGGGTCCATGACCTCTTAATTTTGGGTAATGACCCCATGTTTTAAGGGCCATGGAGACTCCAGGTAGTCATTTCTGCGACTTTGCGTGCGGATCCTGTCGGGGCTATCTTTGGCAACCTCGTTTTAGATCTTGTTTTATCCCATTCCAAAACCCTACATGCCGCAGAGATTAGCATTTTCCATCCCCTTATGTTGTCGAACTGAGCCATCGTCAAATCTTAGCTTTTTGGAGAAGGGGACAGTCCCCTTGCCCAAAAAAAATCGGTTCAGACGTCAAAACCGCCCTTTCGATTTCTTTGCCATGGGCTTTGGGTAGGTCATGCGGGACGGGACCCCTGAAGATGGTGGTCCCAGTTTCTCTCGAAGCCGGTCGTTTGATTCTGACGTTACAGGCTATACCCAGTTCATCACAGAGCTCGCACGAGGCAGGGATTGGTTCTTAAGTTGGACGTGGAATTGAGAGTGGGCAAACAGACAATTCAGACAATCAACCTGGGTATTTGTTTGAGGCCTTTCACCCTGGGTTTAGGGAAGCCAAGAGGAGAGCTACAATTTGTTGGGCACCACGATTTGGCGGTGAAATCTGAGAGTTAGAACATGATGGAACTACCTCAAAAGTGGTTGGTGGACATGCAATCAATTTCTGTTGGGTTGGTTTGAAAGGGAAACCAAGAGAAAACCAACCATGTTTGTGGATACCGCTATGACACACCCTTCCCCAAGCCCAGCATTTCTACTGTGATTGGACGTTGGGTCGCATGGCAGCAGCTGTGCGACCAATACTTCCCTTGACCAGTAGACTTAACCATGGTGAAGTGGTTGTGTCTCAAAGGGCTACCCCCAACACATGGTGAACTTCCTCTTGGTCACTGGTTGAAACTGTTTCGAGTTCCTGAACTTGATACTTTTGGCTGGACCATTTGAGCGGCAAACAGTTTGACTTGCCAATTTGCCAATCCACGCGATGGGAAGGGAGTCGTTGTGTTGCTTTGGAGAGCCCCTTCAAAAGTCAAACCCAAGACACGGTGTCCTTCTTCCCAAGCAGGTGTGTCTTTTTTCTAGGGTACCCCCAATTTTGAGGTTGTACAGAAAAAACCAGAAGGACAACTGATGCAACTCTGGGGCTTACCCTAACAAAAAACGACACACAATGGGCTGGGTTGTCCTTTGACCGTGGTGATTTCTGTTTGCTCCAGTCCATTCTAGGCAACCCCGAATTGGTGGTTTGGGGACTGGTTCTTGGAAAGGGTATTCTCAGTTGTCCACCAGCCGACCTTTTAACCTTTTGGATTTCGCGTTTTGGTCAATTTTGGGTCATGGCCCCAAAAGGTGAAAACAGTTTTTGCCTGGGTCCCTAAGGGGCAAGCGAGTAAGTGGAACACCATCCCGTTTCGCCGCCAAGCCGGGCTCCCTGCCAGTAGTAGTGCCCTTTTTCTTTTTTTTTGGGCTCTAAAATAGCCAAAACCGAACAAATCGCCCTTTCTCACCCCTTTTTTTTGGTTGGGAGGGTTTGCCCCATAAAATTAAGTCAAAAAAAAGAGCATCGGGTACCCACTTATTCTAAGCTCTCAAATCCACAAAACCTCGCCACTCCGCCAAGGCCCGGAGGAGTCGCTCTTCGTCCTCCGGCCCGCGCTCTTCTCCGCTCGCCCGGAGAGCTTCGACTTCCTCCACGCGCCTTGGCTTCAGGTCGGCGCTGGGGCCAGGCGGCGGCGCGTCGGGGCCAGTCGCCCACAAGAGCCACCAGCTGAAAACATAATCCTCTCCTTTGCCCCCTCCTGGACTCCTTCTCCCCTTCCGCACCAACCAAACCCACCCAAACTTCCATTTGGTTAAGATCCGTGTTGTTTTACTTTCCGTTTGTTGGTTTTAAAGGGAATCGATTTCACCACCGGAGATAGTTTTTTTTTTTTTTTTTTCCAGGGGACGAAAAAGCAAATGGAGGGGGGGCAAGACGAAAGCTGAAAAGTTGCTGAGGCCCAGCTCAAAGCCCGGGTAGATGAAGGTTAGGGCCAATCCCAGCCATAAATAGCTGCGGGACTCCGCCTTCTTAATTCTTTACATGGCTCTGGGTGGGCTGTTTAATACTGGGTGTTGATTCTGACCAGAGGCCAGTGTCCTTCTGGTTGGGGTGAGGTTCAAAGGAATTACATGAGGGTTGTCTTTCTGAGACTCTATACCTTTCGTGAGATGGTTTCCAAGGTGAACCACAATTTGCTGCAGTGAGCCTAGGGAACCAAGAAAACCCACCTGTTGAGGGGAACAACCTGTTGGTGTTCATGGCCCGTATGGGTTTTGTCTCATGGGTGCAGCCCCCAAACTGGCTGAGTTTCCTCCTGCATGGCATGGCGCTCAATAGCTAGGTCCCCCAGCTAGGTGCCCTTTCTCACCAACTTTTTTGGGTTGGGAGGGTTCACCTACTAAAATAGACTACGGCCAAAACATCGGGAATCGGGGTACCAACTTATTCTAACTTCTCAAATCCGGAGAACCTAGATAGGGAATCCACCAAAGGGAGATTCCTCGCCTGCTGACGCAAACCTCTCCAAAGAAAGGACAAGTCGACACCACTGGAGAGGTTTACGGGTAACCCTTGTTATGCGTTTGACATGTGTTTGCCTTGGTGGACAAAAGGGACAACAATGTGTAACAGAGTTAGGAGGGTCGGGATGGGCAGTGTTTCGTAGATGTCGCCAGAACAAGTCAGGACATATTTTCGGACCCCTGTTCAACTTTGTTCAACCTCAAAGGCCAGGCGTAGTGAAATCCGTTCCATTTCAACCTCAAGTCAAGCTCAGTCAAGCTTGAGCCTAGTGGTTGCTTCCCACAAGAATAAACGGATGTTTTTCTAGGGAACAATAAGGCCCAAAACTGGCCGATTCTTGTCTCAAGAGTGTCAGGGAAGACATCTCGTGCGATTTATCAAGTCTTTCAAATTTGAGTTGATACCCTTTGAAGGGTTGGTTGAAAGGGAAAGCACTTTGGCAACCGAACCCTATTTTGACACATCCATATACCTTATTCAAGGGGCGGATATGGGCGCCGTAAGCATAGGAGAGGAAAAACCTTTAACATTGGGCTGGGTGGGTTCGCCCCAGGTCGCCACAGGTGCATGATTTCAGGGTACAATGTGCATATCATAATCCACATTAGTGACTTAGTGGGTCTGTGGGATTGGCATCTGGTTTATGTTCACTTTAGGGTATCCTTTTTCTTGTTTTAGGAGACCCCCCTCCCAACATGGCAACGCCTTCCTTTCGGTTTCCGGTTAAGACCCAGGCCAAGTGCGCGACTGAAAAAACAGAAAAAGATGAGGCGCCCATTTTTCGGCCTGCCTGTGCTTCGACGGAACAAAACCCAGCTGAGCCACTAGCTCAAAAAGTAGATGAAGGGTAGTAAGGGACAATCCCAACCATAAATAGCTTCGGGAATCCGCCTTCTTGATTCTTTACATGGTTCTGGGTAGACCATTCTAATACCGGGTTTTGATGATACCTCAGGTGGACTCCTCTTCTGCCCTGGCCAACGCTCTGGAGTCCACGCGTCGCCCGGACGACCCGGCCATCTGGGACCAGTACAACGCGGAGATCCCGCTGGGCCCTGAGTGACGGTGAGTGACGGTGGGATTTTTTTGGCGCGAAGACCACACTTAGGTCCCCGTAGTGCCCTTTCTCTCCCCTCTTTTGGGGGATGGTTCCCCTAAAACAGCCTACAGAAAAAAATCGGGTACCCTCTTATTCTAGCCTCTCAAATCTGGAGGACCTGGACAAACCCCAAAACAACAGATGTGATTCGGCTAGGGGTGTCTCTTTGGAGGGGAACCCCTTTCTCGAGGTTTGGCCAACTGGGTGTGGCTCAAAGTTAAAGAGGAGGGGCAAACCGCAGGTGTTGGTCTATGTTTCCCCTTACCAGGGCAACCCATTTTGGAATTCCGGATTTTTGAGCCACAGCCAAAGATCCGGATTTGTCTATGGTCCAGTTGGGCTTTAGGACTTCGAGGGCGCACTATTTGTTTCCACGATCAGGGGGGCCCTTTTGGCTGGTCAAAGCCAATCCAGATTTTGGGTTTGCCCCAGATGGTAGTGTTTTTGTTTTCTGTTGCGGCTTCCCACAAAGGACTTGCGCAGTGAGATGAGGGATCCATTCCGCCATTTGGATCAGGGACTTGGAGCTGGTGTCCCAGCTCGCGTGGAACAAGACGCGATTTTTGTTCGGCAAGTTGGACATGCAGGGTTGATCAATTGACCCACGGCCACTTTTTTGGGGGAGGGAATTCCCTTCATCCAGCGCCACGACAAAAGCTTTGTGCGCCTTGCGATACCCTTTGTTCATCTCGAGGCCTGGGCTGCAAATGACACACAAATTGGAAGGGCGAGTTCTTCTTCTGCACCAGCGTAGTCCAATAAACACCGCGACAGGTTGCTGGGTTCAGAACGGTTCATCCGGAGCGTAAAGGGTTTGGGGGGAGAGGTCATGCAAAACAAGGAGGTAAAAACACCACCGCCCTGTAGCTGGGCACAGCCTGTGGGGTTTCGGGGGGGTTGTCTGAGTTCCCCATGGTTTGGAGCTTGTTTGTCCCAGCCCCAGGTACGCTGCCTCTTGGAACCATCTAGGTCCCCCAGTGCCCTTTTACCCTTTTTTGGGGGAACCCGAGGATGGAGGACCCTGTTCTAACCTCTCTACTGGACCTAGCCATGGTTCTGGTCCCCATTGCATTTGTCTTAACCCCAAGGTCCTTGACTATCCCCAAGTCAGGGGGTGTTTTGCCCTTTTCCTCTCTGACTATGCGGCCGAGTGCCTTTTCAACATGCGGCGCTGGAGATCTGGGCGGTCAGTCACCGGTGTGCTTTTTTCAACCCACGAGTTCAGCTATTATTATTTTTTGTGGCGGGATCAGAAAATCAGAAAACGGACAGCCCAGGAAAAGTGTTTGAGTGTTCCGGAAGTGATTTAGAGTTGGAGTGTGTGGGAGGATTCGGTGATTTATGTCCGCCGACCACTCTTGCGTTGCGGTGGTTCCCCATCACAAGTTCAGGCGGGAGATTTATGCCCTTTCTAACCCCCCCCATGAAACAAAAGGCAGAGTACGAGGGAATGACCCATCTAAGCTATTTCCCCTATGGATGCCTATATGTTTGTTTTTTAGGGCATCCCAACACCGGTTCATTCCCAAAACCGGACTCGCTTTCTTCCCCGCCAAACCTATCGCCAGCAAGCGATCCCAGGGTGGTTGTCCCGGAGAACTTGGTGGCCTTCAACTACCAGAACGGGGGCTTCGAGGAGGTGCTCGCCAAAGGCTTCGGCGGGAAGTTTGGGCTCAACACCAAAGGACCGGCGGCCCGAAAAAAAACGCCGAAAGCGGCGCGGGGCGCGCGCCGGCAGCCGCGGAGTCGTCCTTCGCAGGTTTTTTTTTGGGGTGGAAGTCGAAGGCGTCTGGAAACCACTACTGGAATGGCGGAAAAGGAATGGAGAAAGGAATCAACTCCCTCACTTGATGCGTCTGGGTCGATGGGGAAGGCCGTAGATACGTATCCTTCTACCTTTTGTTGGAAGGGTTGAGTTGGAGGCGCAGTTTTCTTGCGGGTGAGATCTCAGTAGGGAATGAGAATGGAATGAATCAGAAGGGGATTCCCGAATGAAGGAAACCATAGGATGGATGTTTCATAAGGGTCATCAATTTCTCATTCCCTGCTTGGCACCTGCAAGTTGTTTCGTTGATTCTACATACGTACCCTTTTGCGATCCGTTGCGCTTCATTTGGAGGGAAACAGAAGGGAATCCAAAGGGAAAGCACTTAGTGTGGCAGCATCAAATGTAGACAAACCCATGTCAATGTGTGTGTGTACTGTTGAGTTGGTACCATTCTTTGTGGGGTTTCAAGGGAAATCAGAACAACGGCAAGTTTTGGGAGCCCCGTTCTTTTGAGCCAGGTCGACATCCTTTTGCCCTGGTCTCCATGTTGCTACATGGGTGTGGGTCAAAATTAAGCCACCAGGAATTGAACCGCAGGTTTTAGTCAATTTGGTTCCATTTACCAGGGCAAGCCATTTCGGGGTTAGCCTATTTTTGACCCACAGCCACATCTCTGAGATGTGTTGCACGAGCTTTCACTCATCCGAGGCAGAGTTGAAACTGAGTGGCGATGTTGAGAAGCAGTTGTCGAGCTGTGCATCTTAGCACATTGTGCCGCGCCTCTTCGAAAGACTGGCAGCAAACTCCTAAATGCCGAGGAAGCCACAATTTGTCCGGTTAGGTACGGAGCTTTGAATATCACCTAGCACTGGGTAAATCAATAGTTACCTGTATGTCTTTGGAACGATGGATTGTTGCATGTGTTGAATTTGCACAGGGAGATGTAACTGTTTGGAGCAGTTGTGGTTGGTAGCTGCCCCAAAGAAATCCCCAAGGGCAGATGTGTGAGTCCCGTCCGGCCTCATTTCGGCGCGGGCGGCAGGAAGCAAGTACGGACACTGGACCGATTTCACCGACTCGAACGGGATGGGCTGCTTGACTGCAGTGCAGCGATCCTCAGCAGCGGCAACAGCGCCAACAGCACCACAGCACAAGCAGCACAGCAACAAAGCAACGGCAGCAACTATTACTTCTGCTGCTGCTGCTGCTGCTGCTACACTACCACTGCTGCTGCCACTGCTACTGCTAGTACTACTGCTACTATTACAGCGAACTAGTATGAGTGATTGTTCCAATTGCTCTTCCTGCCATTTGGTTGACTCTTTGCTCTGTTGGGGATGGTTTTTTTCACCACTCAACAGCAGGCAATTAAAGTGCCTGTGTTCCTCTTTTTGTTTGGCCAAACCTGTCTGCCACCGGATCGCAGTTCCTGGCACAACTCACTTCGCGTTCATTTGCTTAATAATATGATTTAATTTCCCCGGTTGGTTTCAAAGGGAGTCCACCACTACTACTGGACATATGTTGTTGTTGTTTTTTCCAGGGGACTTAAAAGCAAATGGAGGCGAGCATGCTTGCGACATGCTTGCGACACAGATGTACGGCTGCACGCTCATCATTCAGTCCGGTTGATTGACTTGCAGCGACACGTCCAATCTGTGTGGCGAGATGAAGTCGGGCTAAATTCCGACTTTACATTGGGTGGCTGTGGAGTTGACGACTGTGTGTTAGCTTTAGTGGCGTTGTTGCAAGAAAACGGTATGCAAGCCTTGCGCAAACAGTCAGCTACGTTCATCACAGCACGTTTTCCAGTCCAAGCCACGTGTGAAGATGTTGCGATGGGAGCCCCTGAGATGGGTCGAATCTGAGGCAACACAAAGTTCGAGAACTTTCAGGACAGGCAATGAACGACAAGAAGCTGAGTTAAATGACTTCCATTTGCTTATATAAGACGATTTATATTTTCCCCGTTGGTTTTAAAGGGAATCTATTACTACTGGATATATTTTGTATTTTTTGCAGGGACGAAAAAGCAAGTGGATGAGGGAGCGAGGTCCTCTGATGCCAGTGAGCCACGGGGAATGGCAAGAAGCTGAGCTGTTTGGGTCTCGTTTTGCGCTTCAGCGCATGCTCCGGACGAAGGGAAGACACGGGACCTTATTTCTTGGCAAGTCCCAGAATTGCTGCGTCGTTCTCCTCTGCCATTTCTTAAGCAGCTGCTTTGTTGCCCAAGCCTTTTGGCGCAAGCAGATTTGGGTTGGCCTCTCTGAAATCGGTCGGTGCGCGACCTCATGAAGATTTCGGGGAATTCTTCAATTGGAATCAAGGATGGAAATTATGTTTAGGGCAGGGGATTGAACAACTGTCCTTGTTGGAAAAATCAAGCATTGTATTGTCTTGTGGCTAGTTGTGGGCCGATTAAGCGGTTTTCCAGCTCAGGCAAATTCAATGACATGATATTACTTGGATGTTCCACCTACTCGGTAAGTTGGTTGTTGCTGACAGGGGTTTGGTTGGCTTAAAGCTATGCTCAGAAATTTGTGTGGATGGACGAAATCCTGCACCAGTTGCGATAGAAGAAACCGTGGCCTACACCAGCTGCAAGAGTTTTGTCCATCCGCAGCAATTGGTAAGTAGTTTGCACAAAGTATCGGGGTTGCTCTCTGATCCCTTTGAGCGGCTTTGTGGCTTTTGAACGGCACCGCAATGTACCTGTTTCCAAGCGTAAACAACATATCGCAGATTTGTTCTTGCAAACCAGCCGCAAAAACACTGCACCTGACCGGGTTGTTCTTGCGTCCCTTTCCCCCCTGTCAATTCCTGCAATCATTGAGGGAAGACTTGTAGCTGTAGCTTCTGAAATGCATGCAGCTGACAGAGATTCTTCGGGTCGGACGGACAGCCGCGAAACCGCTGGCGCGAAACCGCTGCGGAGGCCCTGCGCAACTCTCTTCATGGGGGAATACTCCATGAATCCAAAGCTGCGGGCACACATGATCTCTAGCTGGGTACCTCACTCTCATGGAGCCTGGTCTGGAGAAGTGCAAAACCTACTGTCGCCACGGCGCGTTGAGCGCGTTATGCGCAGCGACGGCACAGACTTCTTGCGAGAGTCACGCAAGCACTCGCCGCTGGTTTGCATGGCCCGTTACATGTTTCGAATTGCAAGGCAAGCAGGTTTTAAGCACTAAGAGTCTCCATGACCCTTTAAAAATGGGTCCATGACCCCTTAATTTTGGGTAATGACCTTGTTTTTTAAGGGTCATGGAGACTCCAGGTATGCACTTTGAATGTTGGTGTTCTGGCTTCTGCATTTGTCCAGTTCACCTAGATGCCAGTTTCACGGCACTGTTCAGATCTTTCGTTGGGTATGCCTCGAAGGAAAGCCACACTGCGTTTTTTTTTGGAGGGGGATACATGCTAGCCAGACCGTCACTGGCCACTGAGGGCCGGGGGTTGGACACTAGACTCAAGGGACCTCCACTGCAGATACGACCGATCCATAGAACCGTGGTGAAGGGATTCCCCTGATCCTTCAGGATGGAATCAGTTCTTCCATTTGTTTTGTTAATGTTGAAACGCATGTGGAAACATGAACTGTGTGTGGAATGCTTGACCATAATGGCATGTGCCATTTTGGCTCAAGCATTGCTCTGGGTTCCTGGAACCCAAGCTGATTGAAAAACTTTGATCTTTTGCATTTTCGAACTTAACCCCGACCAAGCGATGGCTTCCTCGGCAACCTCGGCAACTTCCTTTGAGTTGATTGAGGACCAGACACTCACCGTGGAGGAGGTTGAAATGGCCAGCCAGGAGGCCCAGGACATTCGCACACGGGAGGCGGCAGTGGCGGCCGGCTTGGTTTTGGACGAGCCGAGGCCCCCCCGTCAGCTTCGGCGACCGATGTGATGAATGACCTCTCCAGTGCACTGGAGTCTCCAAGTGGCATTTGCCACACCGACTCCCGGCTTGGGTGCCCCTGGCCCCGCCGAGGAGGGCGACAGGGACATGGGGGATGCACGGAGCGGGCCACACCGCCGGAGGAGGCGCAGACGCCACCCACGAAGAGACTGAAGGGCTTTGTGGCGGCTTCTCAGAAGGCTACGTCTCAGGCCAACAAACCTGTCACCTTGGTGCCGGTGGACGGAAAACCTGGGTACTTCAAGCTGGTGGACCTCCCGGACTTGTTTCCAGTCCTTCCAGCGTCGGCGGCCACCTTGCTGAGAGACATCACGGTGGAGGAGGCGGTCTCCCTGTTTTACAAGTTTGTTGGGAAGAACCTCACGGAGGACCTGGTGATCCGCATCTTGGAGGCGTACGTCCCGATGAAGATCCAGCTCCGCCAGGAGGAGGTCTGGGCTTCGCAGTTCCAGAGGAACCCGGCAAGGACCAGGCACCCTCGGCCACCTATGAGGCGGACGGCATCACCTACAACCTGCTCATCTTGGAGGGCAAGCCAATCTGGATCCAGCCAGGACACTCCAGAAGGGCGGAAGCACCCTTTTCCCCCGCACCCACCGAGGCAGTGGGAAGAACCTTCAGAGAGACCCAGAGGTGGGGATCCGCCCAGCAAGGGGCGTTCCAAGGGCGGGCAGAACCGTCAGGGCAAGCAGCAAGCCCAGGGCCAGACAACCAGTGGGTCGGACAAAGGACACACGGAAACCCCAGGGGGGACAAGCCCCACCTTCCCCTGGATGCAAGACAAACCGGGAGGCCCGCCGCCGGTGAGGGGCAGGGCGGAGCTGGAGCCCCGGGTAAGGGAGGACACGGACAACGACAGCGTGCTCATGCTCCGACAGATGTACCTGACCTCGCTGGCCTACCAAGGACTAGGTAAACGAACGGTCCCGCAGGTGGCTCCTCCTTCCTGGAGCCACACGGGCCTATATTCAATGGGCGAACGCACTCCACCACTCCCTCATCAAGTTTGACGAGTGCCGACATTGTCAACGGACCTTCCCCTTCACCATTGGCATGATCTGCGATGCAACCACGGAGCTCACCCCAGGGGGGAAAAGAACTCCAGTGACCTCAGCCGGTACCCAGAGCAGATGATGCAGGGTCTCGCAGCGGCCATCCTCTGCAGAGCGGGACCCGTCCTGGAGGCGCTGAGGCCGGGGGGCACGGTGCCCCAAGTGAACCCAACGACCCCCCCGAGGCGGCAGAGGGAACCATCTCCCCACACGCCGGGGGACAACAAGCGCCAGTCCCTGAGGCTGAAGGCCGGCCAACAAGCGTTGGCGGGACTAACCTTGGGCTCACGTCCGGTCTCGGCCTCAGACAATCCTGAGGTCCGGACACCAACACAGCCGGCGGGCAGGGAGGTCGAACTATGGGGTGAAACTCTTCCCCTTCAGCCATGGGCACGCCATTGCATGGAGATCTCGGATCGGCCCACCACCCTGCCGATCACGCACGACCCAAATCTCTCCGACAAGGTTATGTACCTCCAGATGGCCTTCAAACAGCGCCCCCTCAGGGACGGGGGTGGGAAGCCCTCACTTGGACGGCTGGCCCCGTGGACTCGGCCATTGTCCAAAGCAGCAGCGCTGGGGGCCAAGATCTGTGTCCTCACGTCGCCATGGGGGGACAAACTCCAGGAGTCGCTCTCGTTGGGGGATGGGTCACACCCCTTCCCGGAGGACCTGCTGGAAGATATCAGGGAGATCCTGGCGCCAGGGGCAGGCCGACCAGCGGAAGGCCAACCCTTCTTCCTGGACATCTTGCATAGCCTGGCGATGAACATTCAGGACCCCGACCACCAG